AGTAACAAAAATTAATATTATGATTGATCCGAGATAAGAAATAGGAGACCATATGAGAGAGGTGTTGTAAGAATACAATACAAATCACAAAAACTAATCTAAAAAAATGAAACGAGTAAAAGGGCATCATGTGTTAGTCACACAATGCAATAGAATCACGTGTCTCATAATATGATTATGTTTAGTGTAAGACAAAAATCATGAGATCTGCATGTTTTTATTGCATAAGCCCTGCAAATAAGGATCATGCAAATCCTCTCCCTCCAAATTAAAACAAAAAAACTAACCACTTTCCATCCCATCTATCAATTTAACTTGACATCTCAAAAACCCAACTAACCCTCCATAATGTTTTTAACACATTATTTAAGGCTCCTTGTTTATCTCATAAATCTTATCCAACCAAATTAAACCATCATCTGATTAACCAATTAGCTTTTTTGTCATAATAATTGATAACAGACAAAAACTTTGTCCCTCTCTTACCACTTTTGACGTGTGAAGCACGAGTATTAGATAGTTTCATTATCTACTATTCATTTATATTACATTTATTTAAGAGTCAATGATGATTATCTAATACACTAACGATGTAAAAAACTCTTACACAACTAACGATGTATAGTGTGTTTTTTTAGGGTCATATAGCATTCTTTACTTCCTGTGATAAACAACCACACGTTATTTTCATACAGGTTGCGTGCCTTATGCTCTATTACCGTTCATGTTTTGGGTTCTTGTGTAATTAGATAAGAGAATCTCTCTTGTATTTATCACTCTTATGTTTCTTTCTTCTTGTGTCTTTGCTCCTTAAAAAGAGGAAAGAGAGTGAACCCACCTCACTAATAAAAGGACTTTATGCAAACCTAGTTTACCATTCCATGCTATTGTAGTATTATATCTCCCTCTTTCTCTCTTTGCTTTCTCTTCACCTGTGCTGTGTCAAACATATTATTATTATTATTCAAGTTTTTTCCTTTCAACTGCTACAAACAAACCCTTTTGAGGTTTATTATTGCACCCTCTTCTTCTGACTTGTGCTGCTTGGTTCACATATCAAAGGTTCATGTTTGTACTAAAAAACTGTATTTTTCAACAACTTCAACATGGTGTGGTATTTCATGGATTTGAACTGTGGATAGTCCTATAAGAGTATGTTAAGCTGAACCTATCTTTCCTTATAGTATCATTTTCTGTCTATCTCATCTCTTATGATCCTTCAAAGTTTAAACAAAGACTTGTCTTTTATTTTTGTCTCTAACTAGTGTTTTTTTCTTGCATATGTTTGGTGAAGAGTAGAAAAATACAAAGAACAGGCCAATTTCTTGAGTTTTTCATTGTGATAGTGTTTTTTGAGCTATAAAATGATGGATGAGAGGTCAAGAAATGAGGTTTTTTCTCCTAAGCTTTTGGATTTGATCTCAAATGAGAAAGAGTGGAACATGAACAAGAGTGAAGGAAAGTGTTCAGAGGAAAGGAAACTTGAGCTGAGGCTTGGTCCACCTAGTGGTGAAGATTGGTGTGAAGATAAAATGAAAAACATCAACAACACTAGTACTGAAAGGGATGAATCTCTACTCTCTCTTCTTAGTTACTTCTCAAACAATGGTTTTCAAAAACAGAATCTTTCAACTTCTGACACTCCAGCTAAGTCTATTTTACCCTCTTCATGGTCTTCTTCAACAAGTTACCAACATCAACATCAGGGTAGTAATAAAGCTTCATCATTTCTTGTGATGGGAAATGATGCATCTCAAGCTAAGTTGGTAGAGTTACAAAATGGTGCTGTTGATAAGAAAGTGTTCTCTACTCCCTCTTCTGCAAATACAGCTGTTCTCAACAACACCTCTCAGAAAAGGTACTATAACTTTTTCCTTATGTTTGTATCTGTGCTTTGTAACTTTTTAAGACAGAGGATATTCATTCATTGAGAGTCACATTGTTTCTTATGTATATGTGATGTAAGCTTCTGTTGTTTCCTCCCATGTGTTACAGTATGTGTCTAATAGATCTAACTTTATAAATCCCTATTTTATTTTTGTGTGCAAGAATTAACTATCAAGTTTGTTCATTATTAATTGCTATATGCTTTCCATAAACTTTGAGTAATTAAGGGCCAATTTTATGCTTTGATCCCCTTGTACTATGTACTAGTGGCTGTTTTTGTTCTGTTATACTTCCCCTTGTCATGTTTCCTTCAGAGATGTCTACATCTGAATTTTGATGCCATTTATCATTTATTATGTGCCTTCATTATCTAGCTCTCCTTGAAGTTTGACATTGCCATGTGAATATCTGAACCATGTCTCCCTTTTCTGTCTCATGTTTTTAATTTATTAGGCCCTTCTCTGGGAAAGGTTATATTTGCTTGTTGGTTTAAATCAACACAATACTTTGCTATTTGAATATCAAACTTTGGATAATATTTATCATTAAAAAGAGCATCAAATGTTTTTACTAGAAATATTATGGTAAAAAAGAAGGACTTAGTATGAGAATTTGAGTGATTAGAGGTTCATGCTATGGAACTTCATGCTCTTTGTTTTCTGTTTTTTCCACTATGGTTCTTTATTATTACTTTCATGCCTAATAACTTTTCTATATGGACACAGAAATGCTCCTGGTCCATTGGTAGGTTGGCCTCCAATTCGTTCTTTCAGGAAGAACATTGGAAGCAGCAGCACTTCTAAGCCACAACCTGAGTCCTCTCAGCAGCAGCATGACAAGGTTGTTGGTAAGAAACATGTTGACAAGTATGGTAATAATGATGGTAAAGGTTTATTTGTCAAGATCAACATGGATGGTGTTCCTATTGGGAGAAAAGTGGACCTCAATGCTTACTATAGTTATGAAAATCTATCCTCTTCTGTGGATCAGCTTTTTAGAGGCCTCCTTGCAGGTCATTTTTTGTTATCTTTGACTCTATGATTGTGCTCACTTGGTCAAAATTTTATCACAGTTTTTTTTTTTACTTAGTTTGTTTATATATGTTCTAGTGTGGAAAGCTGTTTATTTTGGAGTAATAGCTAACCAACTAATAAGCATGTTTTTTAAACAGGAAATGGCTGATTAAGAAATCTAATATATAAAGTATGTCTAGGATGTTTTAAGAAAAATTTGAAGTTATTTTAATGAAAAGTTTTTATACTTTGATTTCTTAATTATGAGTGTTGTTTACCATGACAATAGTTAGTAAAACCATTTTAAATTTATTACCAGCTATGTTCTTGAGGTTGGCTATAGAATATAGATTAAATCAAAATTCATTGCTGCTATTGGTATTAAGTGTCAACCTTGCTTTTACTGCAATTGAATTTAAGTACCTTAGCTTATGGTCAATTATTTTAACCAAACAAGTTTTATAATACAATTTTTTTTAACTGTCCCTTTAAGACCATTATGCTGCTTACATATGTTTGTGTTTTTTCTTCAGTCTTTTGTTGGTATAGATGAAGTAATCACATTTTTATTTTATGACTTTTGTTCAGCTCAAAGAGATTCCTCTGGTAGTGGAGTTAAGAAGAAAGAAGAAGAGAAACCTATTATAGGTTTATTGGATGGAAGTGGAGAGTATACTCTTGTTTATGAGGATAATGAAGGAGACAAGATGCTTGTTGGGGATGTGCCATGGCAGTAAGCATATTATCACTGTAGATCTTATGCTACATTATTTCATTTTATTCACATATTATGTTCCATTTTTTGATGTTTGAGGACCAATGCCGCAATAAATAATTAACATTTTAATATCTTTTTATTTTAAATTCTAAAACATTGATTTTGTTAGATAACTTGTGGCAATTATTACTATTTATTTATCAGACCACATTTTAGTTAATTGACATAGTCAAATGATGTTTTGAATGGATAGTATATTGTCACTATTGTGTTGTATACAATAAATTCATTGGTGCTTGCTAGAAAACTTTGATTATAGTTATTATATTGTAATCTGTATGTTTGGCAGTATGTTCCAATCAACAGTGAAGAGGCTGCGGGTGTTGAAGAGTACTGAGCTTTCTGCTTTTACCTGTGAGTTGGAATCTTATAATTTAAATGATAAATTTTGTGATCAAACATTTGAATAACTTTCTTTTTTCTTTTCAGTTGGTGGCAAGAAAGAAAAGATTCCATTCGACCAAAACTAAAACTATTCTAATTTGGTTATTCCCCTATATAAAGAAAATGCAATGATACTAGTAGCTTACTTACATTACAGCTAAGAAATGTGTATGAAATCTTATTTCAAAGATTGAAATGTTTATGGTTTGTATAAATAGGGAAGGGAAACTTCACGGATTGATGTGTAATCTTAATTTACTGTTGAGTCACATTTAACTTGTTTTGGTTTGTATTTTGAAGTGCCCATATGCCTAATGAGTGTTCAATTTAGTGGGTAAAGAGCCATAGATGGAGAACTTAAATTTGGATAACATGGTAGGGTCATTTTCTTTTAAATTTTTTACTATGACTGCAGAAAAATGGGGTGCAACTTCATTTGCAATTAGTAGAGATCAATTTTGGATTCTTAAATGAAATTGGGATAAATAGAATTGGAAAATCTTGACATTTCTTTATCATTAGATCATCCTTTTTTCCTACATATTTTTACTTTCAAGTTATAAAGAATAATGGTGTCCTTAACAATGTTTCCCATTAAACTTAAATTATTGGAAATTTGATTAATTCTTTACTTATCCAAGAGAAATCAAAAAATGTATAAATATGTATGAGGAAGTAAATATAGTTGCTTTAGTATCTTGCCAAGGCAACAAAAAAAAGAATGTTGCTTGATTTAATTAAAAAAGCAACACAACTACTTTTGCTTCAAGGGAACGAGTCAAATGGGAATTAGATAGATCCACATAGACCAGATAGTGAAGCCTTCTACACTTACAAAAAAAAAAATTCAAAAGAAAATTAAAAACAATTATGAAAGATCATAACACAAATCAAATTCAATTCAACAAAACTCATTTCAAGATTTTTAGTGGAATTAGAGCCTCAGAGATCTTGGTGGAAAAATATCATCAAATGGGACATTCCCATCAAGAGTAGCAAATATGTTATAACATCATTGGCCCAACACTAAAGAAAAACTTAAAATTATACAACAGAAGAATAATTGTGACAACAATTGTAATAGAATCTGAATATCATATGAAAAAACATGAAATTATGAATACAATGTTGTCAGAAATTGATTGTGAGATCATATATATTATCATTGGGAATCCGAATGATTGCTATCATCATTCAACATTGTACCATATATTCAAAAATCAACAAACAAATCCACATCCCAAAATGAATAAAATCAAATAACCCAATCAAAAATTTCATAAACAATTTTGTATCTACCTTGTCACCAAAAAATCCTACTATAAGAAAGGATATCTGGAGCTAAAGATAGACTGCACATATATATAAAGATATATACATACAAATAAATAAAATCAATTTAGCCTAACGATAGATTCTTTGACATACTGAATAAATGTTTAAAGAATTGCAATATTAGGCTCATACCAATTATTCCAACATAAACATAAGAAACAAAAATGGACTCAGAGAGTTGCTTTATGTGCTCAAAAATGAATCTTTGGAAAAGACCCATCTCATACAAGAGGTGTCAGAATATATGAAGCAATCATCATAGTCTTTAACATCACATAAAACTGATATACACAAACATAAGAAAGAAACTGAATTAGCATAAAATAGAGAAATATATAATAAAAAATGTGGGGAAAATGATTGTTGTGATTTTCAATTGAATAAAATGAAAAACAACTGCCCATTTTCTCAAGATAATGTTGCAGGGAAATCTTTCGGAATAATGCATTAACAATAGCACAAAACCGATACACACAATCCCTGCTTTCTCAATTTCACTGTCAAATTCAACAAATAATAATCTAAAAATCAAAACTTTGAGAAAACAGAAACAAGAACAGGAAGAGATGATGATTTGTGAGTAATGGGGTTTGTAGTAGTAATATATAGAGGGTGGCTGCAAAACCCTAAAGTAGCTGCTAAGGTCTATTGAATCATGGGGTACTTCATGGGCTTGGGTCTTGGGCTTTACGTAATGTGCTTTTAATTCTACTCCATCCTCATGGGCTTGGGTCTTGGAAATTCACATCAATTATTTTTTTCAATTCTATTAAGAAAATAAAATATCTCTACACACGAAGAGATAACTTATCTCCTTAAACTCACTCATTGTTTGACATGTGTTTTATTTATTTTCCTTCTAGAAGTTTTCATGTCAAACAATGAATGGATATAAAGAAATAAATTATCTTCTAGTGCGAGGATATACTTTATTCTCTACTATTAATTACAATAAATAAGAGATTTTTTTTTATGTTCTCAAATCACCCCACCATTTAGTGACTCTTAAAAAAATAATACACATGACTGATATATTGTTGTGTAAAAAAGTTTAGATGAATAGTGTATAAATATTAAATTATGTTTTCAAATGAGAAAAGTTTTCTTATAATAAAGAATGCAGTGTCTCATATTTGTTATTATTATGATTTAAAAATAATAATTTGAAAATATTAAAAGCAAATTATGAAGACTTTTAGAAAGAGGTGGACAAAATTTGTGGGTAAATGTGTTACCATTTGGAACAAGAATGGGTTGAAGTGTTGTGGAGCAAGATAGTTTAATGTGTTGAAATGAGTGCTACTAAATTGGTTGTAAAAGATGTTCGGTGAAATGGTAAATGGAATTTTGATGACTGATACACTTCTATTTCAGAAGAAGTGAAGAGGGTTGTTAATAATGTTCCAATTGAGATGTTAGCTATTGTACATGGTCTTTCAGTGGTTTGGGAAATGGGTTATAGACATATTTGTGACAGTGACATGTTCTTTAACAAGTCTTTTAGCCAAGACCAAGAGTGGTGCAACAGGTTCCTCCTAATGGGTGTGGTTACTTTGTTGACTAATTCAATTCGACTCCTTTCTCGCCATGCAACATTCTCATTGATTGAATTTATTCTCTTTTTTTGACAACATTGTTCACGTTAGACTATGTTTGGTTTACAAAATAAAAGTCAAAAAGGGAAAAAATGAATAGAAAATGTGATGGTTTTTTAGTTGTTTGATACGGTATAAAATATAAAGAAACTAGAGAGAAAAGAATATAATTATTATTAATAATGACATTGACATGTATCTTTTGGTTTGTTTGTTAACTGTAATATTTATACAATGTTAACGTAAATAACTTTACACATTACATTATCTATTATTCATTTGTATTATTTTTTTAAGAGTCAATGATAATAAAACATAAATCATGATGCATTAATAGTGTATGATTCAGCCATTTTTTTCTTTCCTAGACAAATATAAAAGTTCTTTTCTTTCCTTTTTTTACCCCAACCAAACATAGCGTTAGAGTTATGCTACTTATATAAAAAACACATGCTTCTAAAAGTTTGAATTTGCATTTATAAGTTAAAGACTTAAAATATTATTGTGAATTCACCAAAAATAAAATACTATTATCAAAAACCAAAAGATCTTGAAACTTCAGTAGTACACTCCCATCAGGGGCCAGAGAAAATAAAATAGAATCGAAAATAATACATAAAAACAAACATTGGACATGAAATAAGGCATTTTCTTTGTTTCATGCCAATTTGTAGAAGACTAGAAGCCTTGGTCAATCAAATAATCTCCCAATTTCTGAAGAATGATGTGACACTCTTCTGGGGTCGTAGGTGAGTCATAGGTACCAATCACAAGAGTTTCCTTTGTTTTCTTCACACTTATCCCACTCCCATCCTGCACGTGGTAATATGCAACTTTGTAATTGAGTGTGCAACTATATTTGCCTCAAGTTCGACTTGTTAATTTAACATGTTTAATTTTTAACTCAAGTTCAACTTATTTTTTTTATGAACATCAAAATAAATTATAAATCAAGTTTTAAAGAAATATCAAGTTTGTTAAATTCATTGACAGCGTCAACTTCATCTATGTAGGATTGCTACTCACATATTTGAGGCTCAAGAAAGAAATATGAGTCCTAAATTTATTTAAAAATTCAGAGTTTTTTATGGAATTGAGAAAATTGTATGGCTATGGATACTCAAACTTTATGTGAACAGTTTCACCTAATGAAGCTAAAGTAAATATATTAAAATTGATTTTAATAAAATAAAGCAAAAAAATAAATATTTAATTAAAAAAATTTATTTTAAATGGGTCCCTTATTATGGTGGTGTTCTTTGTGGTAGCACATGCAACACATACCCATAGCTAAATATGTAGTTATGTATAACATGAAGCAAGACCTCGATTAAGACTTGATTGTTGTATGAATCATTTATCTTTGAAAAATTTATCCACTTAGGTAAGGTGTGTAGTATCAATCTTTTACTCTTACGTAAAGCATAGAATTGATGATAATGGAGCAACAAGAAAAATAGATATTAGCATGTGTCAATATGTTATTTTGCACCATCTATTCAATTCATAACAGTGTGGACTAATTTGATTTCAAATGGAACATGATCTATATGTTTTTTATTCCATAATTTTTGCTCTTAAAGAAATATATATAATATAATATATGATAAAGATAAAAGAAAAGAACCTCATTCTTGGCATTTATAAAAGCTCCACTACTTTGTCCTTGGATGACATTGTACTTTGTGCCACCAAGGTACAACTCAGTTGTGCCAATGATGTTAGGTTCATCAAAACCTTTCATTATGGCTTCAATTTCTTCAACCTTAAACTGCATGCTCATATATTAAAACAATATCAATTACATTAGAACTTTAATGTTGTAATGTAATAATAATCGATATATTATTGTGTGCATGTGAAATGAAGAGAATTTTGAGAATGAGTTACCTTAGGGAATTTGGAGCTGTGAGCCCAGGCTGAGCCATCATGGCCGATGAAGGCGGCGGCGGTGAGGATGTTGCTGTCGAATATAGAGGAGAGGTGACCATCGGTGCAAATTTGGAACGACATGTTCAACTTCTGATCAATGGATTCCCTTCTTCAACCTTATGTTATATATATATATATATATATATATATATATATATATATGTAATTAACTATGTAGTTATATTATATACTAATACATTAATATATACTTGATCTAGTCCTTAGTATAACACAAGAATTTATTTGGTAACAAAAGTCATTCACCAATCAATATAAACTTCATATTTTTAATTATTTAATTCATTCAATATATCTATTTTAATGGAGTAGAATAGTGAATGAAATTGAAAAATAAATAACATTGTTTATAAATGTTTGTTTTTGTGTGTGGATAAATTGGATATCATCTAAATGGTTATATCTATTGAATTGATTATATTTGATGGATTCAAATCTATATCATTACTAAAATTATCTATAAGATTATATATATTTAAATCTATTAACTCTAATAGAAGAATTTAAATAATATTATAAGGACTTTTAAAATATTATAATATTATATTATTACAGTCTTAGCACTTCTAAAAAGATGATAAAAAATTAAAAATGTGTATCATAATATTGTATTATATTTATATATTAGTAAGTTACTCATGCATTTGCACGAAACAGTATTTTCTTGCTGCATGATTAAGAACACGTATTACATGTGCATTGACATGCATGATTAAGAATACATATATTACACATGTATTCGCATGGTTAAAAACAAACATGTTACGCATGCATTCGTATTATTGATATTGCATTTGCATGATTTAAATCACACATGTTACTCGTACGTTCGTATTATTAAGAACGCATGTGTTATACGTGTATTTGCCTCTTCAGACACATAAAAACAAAAAATGATAATTTCGAATTTGATTTTTCTAATGAAAATGGGAAACTGAAACATTAAATTTTGTGATTTTTCTCTTGAAAATAAATATTTTAGAAGTTGTGGAAAATGATTTTTTTTACAATTTCAATTTTTTTACTAATGAAATTTGGGAAATCAAATCGTAATACTATAAGAGTAAATGTGATCTCTCATTACTTCAAATTAATTTAAAATTCAAAAAATCAAAACAAATAGTCCAATCAATAATCAATATTGTTAATTTTTAAAATATACATTGTACAAAGTGATTATGTAGTGTGGATATTTACATGGTAGTACCATGAAACATTTTAGGAGGGAAAGATGAAGTGACATGGTGATGAAGTGAGAGAAATTTATTTTATTATATAGTCAATAGATGAAATTGAATGTGGTTGGAAAAATGATAGGGGGTTTGAGGATAAAAAAGTAAATATTTGGTTCAATAGAGTATAAGTTTAAGTGAAAAAATGAACATGGTTGCAACATGTATCCAAAATGGATAATATTGAACATTTTTTGTTATATAGTAATTAATAAAAACTAATAAGAGTAAAGTTGGCGGTGTCACCTTAGAACATAGCTAAAAGTAATTATTATATGTTTTAGAATTAAACTACCCCGCCAAATCTTTATTTTTCATTTCCAAAAAACTCAATTTTAAGTTATTAATACATCATCAATTATTTTATTATCATTATCCATCATGAATCATATAATAATTTATTCACTTGCAACTTTATTTTTTTTAAAGACTTTCGTTAGGTTAGATGGGATATTGGTTAATACTATAATTTAAGGGAATAAGAGTTTAATTTTTGTTTCATTCATAAAATGGGACAAGTACCTTCTTTAAAGAATTAATAATGACTAAATATTAATGATTCATGATATAATGACATTGTCAGTACATACATATTTTGTCTAAGTAAATTTCCACACTTATCTTCATTTCTATTATTAGGAAAAGAAAAAAGCAATTTAGTTTTTTTCTTTAAAAAGGGTGTAATATAGTTTTTTCTTTAAAAAATCTGT